TTTGTTCTACCATCTCGAGCAGTTCCATCTGGCTAGCTTGGAATTCGTGTAAGATAGGAATTATCCTTCCTCGTTCCTCCAAATGCTGTTGCATTCAGAATGGGATTTCACTTGATCCTTTATCCTCTTCGTGTCTTGTTTCGTAGTACGAGTACTTTCTGTGTAACCACCATCTACCTCTTGAGATTGTAGGGAGTGTTTTATGTTTCCCGACGGGTTAGGCTGACCGCACAACTGCCGGAAAACAGGAAGGGAAGCAAGTCGTTTGAATAATGCCTCTGCTTGACCTTTGGTGGTCGTATCAGCTGTGTATTGTTTTACCTTGGGTGAGGCTGGCGAGGTACGTGTCCCATGTATCTCTCGGGTCTCCATTCTCATCACCATCAGCAACGGCGATCCGACGATCAAAATAATCCCGCTTCTGGTCACCTCGGGACCTTGTCGGCAGTTGACAGTTTCGGCATCAGAATGATTGATATGAGGCAGGCAGTTCTGTCAGCGTTGGGTCCAAAGGTAGAATTGCGCAGCTGGAATGGCACAAGGACGGAGACGCAGTCGGCAGTTGCACCTCCACCTCATCTGCCGAACCTCAACTGCGCCGACCAGCAAGATTCATCATTCCCACCCCTTCGACTATCCACGCTGCTTACCACCACTCTGAGATGCCACTGATGCTAGCTACCAACAAGCCCTCGACAAGTCCATTTCCCTCTTTCCACCCGCTGAATCTCAGAGTCGGGCATGTGCGCCACACCCCACATTGATTGCCGCCTTGAGCCGAACTGTCCAGCTGGACCCCAGACTTGCCTTTCTTGCTTGCCACAGCCTCCCCTTGACTGGCTTTTGATGTCCCCGAGGGCATCCTTTAAAGCATATGCCGTGGCTCTCATGGCTGCTTCTGGACACGACTGGTCAACGAACCCTGACCAGACCATGACCACTGGCGAGCTGTCGATTCGCTGGCCTTGCGTTCGGGAGATGCTACACTTGGTGTAGGGCCCGCTCGATGGCCCCCTCGTGCAAAACAGAACTGCCGAAGCTCAATTAGCCACTTGACTTTTTCCAGAATCAGCACTCTCTAAGATCGGATGGATCTTGGAGCTCAGTGTGACGGAATCATGTCTCGGTTTCGGGGATACCGCTTGAACGTTCATGGTGTTGAAAGAACTTACATGTCCTCGCTAAAATCGTCTCGACCTGTCCTGCTTTCCTCTGATCAAGGTAGAGAACTATTGTCGTGAAGCTTTCAGACCCATTGAGCCGCATCTTTACTCTTTGCTCAGCGATATTGCGTGAACATGATTGAATCCATCCTACCAGCCATTGTCAATAACTGGCCCATAGCCCTGGCCGTCGTTGTGGTGGGTTATCTACTGAGCAACTACTTCAACCATGGCCTCAACAAATATCCCGGACCGGTATTGGCGAGGTTTACGGATTGGTGGAGGTTCTTCGATGTCCTTGGGCGACGACCAGATATTACACACCTCAAATTGCACCGCCAGCATGGAGATGTCGTGAGGCTTGGACCCAATGCTCTCTCATTCTCGAACCCAAAGGCTTTGAAGACCATTTATGGCTTGAACAAGGGCTTCGTCAAGGTATTGCCAATTCTGCAATCCGCTTACAGCAGCCCACTAACCGCTTCCTCCAGTCTGGATTCTACCCGGTGCAAATGGGCGTCAGCAAGGGCAAACGCCTGCCTTCGCTTTTCTCCACGACTGATGAGTCGTATCATGCAAATCTTCGAAGATCTGTGAACAATGCATTCGCAATGAGCCAACTGGTCCAGTATGAGCCGGGCGTTACCCAATGTATCGAGGTCTTTTTAGACCAGACGGAGAAAATCTTTGCCAGGCCAGACAAGGTGTGCGATTTTGCACTGTGGCTTCAATATTTTGCTTTCGACGTAAGTTGCAGTGATCGATTCGGAATATCTGCTTCTGACTGTGAGCCAGGTTATTGGGTACATCACATACAGCAAGCGACATGGTTTCATAGAGAGAAATGAGGATGTCGACGGTATGATTGCATACCTCGGGCGGCTCTTCTCTTACGTGGCACCTGTGAGTGTCTCACTGCCCAATTGCGGCGCGTCCAAGCTAACGAATCCTTAGATTGGGCAAATGCCCTGGCTAGACCTACTATTTCTGAAGAATCCTTTGGTCCTCTTGCTTGACCGGCTTGGATTCAAGCTCTTTGCATTTCCGGTCGCCACATTTGCTGTTCAACGAATGCAGGAGAGGCTCGCGGAGATGGAGGCGCAGGGCATTGAAAAGGGAACGGAGAAGCCAGATCTTCTGTCCATGTTCCTGAAGGCGCAAAAAGACCGGCCGGAATTCATGACCGACCAGAGGGTTCTGACCATGGCTGTGTCGATGGCGTTTGCTGGGTCCGAGACCACAGCCATCACTCTAGCGGCTGCGTTCTACTATCTGGTCCGCAACCCTCGGTGCTATGAAAAACTGATGCAAGAATTGAACGAAGCTGTTGAAGAAGGGCGGATCGAGGACAGACCTAGCGGAACGATCACGTGGGCCGAGTCCCAACAACTCCCTTACCTTGACGCATGCATCAAGGAAACATTCAGAATGCACCCGGCTGCAGGACTACCTCTTGAAAGAATCACGCCGCCGCAGGGGATTGAAATTGACGGCCATTTTGTTCCTGGGGGTACGATCGTTGGTTGCAATGCGTGGGTCATCCACAAACGCGAGGATGTCTTTGGCTCCCAGGTCGACAGCTTCATTCCCGAGAGGTGGCTCGATGTCGGAAAGGAGCAGCTGAAGGAAATGAATGGCAATCTGTTCCAGTTCGGGGCTGGCTCCCGAACATGTATTGGAAAGAACATCAGCTTGCTGGAGTTGTATAAGTTGGTGCCAGCTTTCCTGCGTCGATTCGAGGTGAGTTTGACAGAGTTTTGGCATTTCACAAAGCGACAGATCACAAGGCTGACATGGTCTCCGATTCAGATACGTCTTGATGACCCGAACCGAGAGTGGAAACTTCACAACGGTGAGTCTGGTCAAGATCTATCTTGTGGATCGTTGATGCTGACTTCAGAATAGCTTGGTTCGTCAAAGAGAACGACTTCTACTGCCGCTTCAAGCCCCGAAAGATGCGATAGAAATACACTTACGGCTCTCCACCGTCGCGTGTGCCAAAGATTGAGCGTCTTTTCCAAGATTTTGTCAGAGAATAACTATTCGAAGCCAGCAGCTTACGATCGAACGAAGTCAACATGATTCAAGTTTCGTTTTGTGCCGTCGAGAATGATCAGTCAAGAGGATTTTGCAATTTTGGGTTGGAGTTTTGTATATAGCGCCTGATCCCAAATTCTCCCAAAAAACGTTTTCACACTTATTGCCTTGGCAAGTCGATCTATTCCGCAGTGTCTCCACCGGCTGACCAAGACGAACGTCCTTGAACACTGCGAATTCGTCAGATAATCTGCGATGCTGGCAAGAATTGTCGATGTAGTGGTCAACCACGTGACGTCTGGATTTCTCGCCCGATAGAATCTGTGTAAGAAGACACATCGAACCTTTCCTTGGGCGTCGCCACAAAAGTTTGCGTCTTATGTGATTCGATTTCCTTGCCGCTTGTAACGCCTGTCCTCGGCTGTGTACCGAGTACTTGCTACCTCGGTGTACACATACATGTCAAAAGTGGGTCTCGTGTTGTGTCTTCAACTTTGCACATCATACCTATAGATAGATAGGTAGAACCAATACAAAAAAGTAAAAAGCGTCCGTGGGCCATGTGCCTCTTCTAGAGGATTCTATGCGCAGGACAGAGTACATACGGAGATACAAGTCCTTGTACTATCCATGCGGTTACTTGTACAGGTACGAGGTGCTTGAGGGGATGTATGTATGTATGTATGTATGTATGTACGAGTCATGGGATTCAATACTAGTAGCGGTCTGAATGTCTACTCACCTACCTTTCCACGGAAACCCCTCGTATCCTAAGGCCTTACGCCGGTTAGCGGCGGCCGCAGAATGCGAGGGAGTTTCCATCCACTACTATCATCTCAGAAGGACAAGACTAAGAACAAGGACAAGTGCTGGTAAGTATACCTCCAAGAAGGTACCTACTCGTCTGAGTAAGTAGGTCATGTAGTGAGTACGGGATCTTAGCTAGATAGAGCTAGACTAGCTACTCGTAACTATGTACACTTGAAGGAGGATCCGTCTTATGATTCGATATTATGCCAGCAAATCCTCCACTCGCTCCGCCAGGAGGCTTTTCTTCCTCTTTGCTTGTCGGCCGAGTCATCGGTGTGCGCATCTCCTCGCTGTCCACCCTGTCCACTTGTCCTCCATCATTTGCCCACCTCTTTGTGAGGTTGCCCTTGCATTAGTAAATGCATAACCTTCCCATGTTCGGTGCAGTGACTACTTGGATTGGATCAGCAACCGCATTGAACAAGGGTGGTGAAGTTGGGTGGATCAACTCTCTCCTCCCCACCATAACCTCCCCTCCAAACAGACTCTCAAACTCCTTCTGCACCACCGCCTTTTGTTGAGGCGGATTCCTTTTCGACCAGATTCTCTGATGTGCGTGCACAATCCCGCGTCTTCCCAGGAACGTGTCATCGACGTACTCGTACCCTACCTTTCCATCACGCAGCAAAGTAGGGAGGGGCTCCGCTCCCCGCCCAATGGGGGAGCCCTTTTGCCGGTCATGGATAGATAAGGTCGACGGCCGGACCGAGACGTTAGGCTGCTCTTGATTGTTAATGTGCTATGTAGTGTTATTCCTCATGATCCGGAGCCGGCGCCTGTTGCGTGATCTCGCGATCTGCCTCTGGTTAGTTGGGCCGGTCCAAAAGGTAAGGCTCCGAAAGGATAAAAGGGTCCTAGGATCACCATCCACCTGGAAAGTCTTGTTTTCTTCTTTCAACACCCTCACGACTTCTGCATTGACTGTCTTCGCTGCCATCTTCACTCTTCGACATATTCCACAACCCATCCAAGGAAAAGACATCACCAACCATGGGCAACCTCGACAACTTCTTCGAGCTCGTCAAGGGCCGTCGCTCCATCTACTCTCTCTCCAAAGAGTCCACCATCCCGGACTCCAAGATCGAGGAGATTGTCAAGTTCGCCGTCACATGGGCTCCCTCGACATACAACGTGCAGTCGGCCCGTGCGGTAGTGCTCTTCAAGGATAACCACGACAAGGTCTGGGAAATTGTCAAGAAGCACATGGATCAGGTACCCCTGGACGAAGGGATGCGCGGGTATATGAACAGCCGCATCGCTGGGTGGAAGGACAGCTATGGAACGATCTTGTGGTATGAGGACCAAACGGCTTTGGACGCTCTGGCAGAGAAGAACCCCATGGTTAAGCCCAAGCTTACTGAATGTAAGAGCACTCACGATCATTCAAGGGGGGTGGCGGGGTATGGAACCGTGTGCTGACAATATGCTTTTCACAGGGTCTGATCATTCCACCGGTATCCATCAATTCATCGGTAAGCCAAACCTGCATCATAGCACCCGCCGTCTGCATTTGCTCCAGCCACATAATGGTACTAATCTCGCTCCTTGCAGTCTGGACTGCCCTCGAGGCTGAGGGTCTGGGTGCCAACCTCCAACACTTCAACTTTCACCCCGGCGTCATCGCGGACCTTGAATCAACCTTTGATATTCCCAAGGAATGGATACTCAAGGCTCAGCTGGTGTTCGGCAAACCCACTGGTGGACCGCAGGAAAAGACGTTCGAGCCGATTGAGAAGAGAGTCATTGTGAAGTCATAGAGGGCCAGTAGCGTGGAGATGGGCGTCGAGAGAGCTCATATGTCCACTGTGACTTTGATACATGTCTCCAGCTCACTTGCGGGTCGCTAGCTCGTTCCCACTGTTTGCATAGAAATAGAGGGATTCTTACTAGTCGCGTCAACAGAGAAAGGAGGCGCGTCGATATAGACGTGTTTGGCAGAATTGCGAATATGGCTTCGAGTTCAGCGAGACCAGGGGGAACATTGAACACAAGATCATACCACCAACAAGACGTGTTGTATGATATAATGAGCATCATCATGAGCACGAGTAAAGTCGGCGTGATTTTCAATGGCAGCCCCCTGGATGGCGCAGGATGCCCAGCTTTAATTCCCCCGTCGATGCCAAGATCCCAAAGCAGCCTAGTGCGTCTTTTCTTAGCCAACGGTCTCATCTCCATCGTCCCTCGTCCACTCACCCCATTCATTATTGTCCAACATGCGCAATCTTCAACTTCACCTTCCACGTTTTCCTTATCTCAATCATCGCTCTCTTCCCCTTCCCTTCGGTATCGCTCGTTAATCCTCATCAACCTACTCGCTACTTTCCGCCAGTCTGCAGGCAGAGACTCGTTCCTTGCCCTCCAGTGTCTCCGAACGGATTCCGTACAAAGGGAAAAGGGGGGACGAATTGTTACTAATAGCGAATTGTCTTGCCTGACCGGAGCACTCGGAGGTATTCTGACGAGTGGGTCACCTAGAGAGACCCCTATTCACTCCCACTCCCGACCGTACTCGAACAAGACGCGAACAGGGGGTTTTTGAGTGTGTTGGTACTTCGACATTGGCGTTTTTACCACGAATCGATTATTTTGTATAACCTGGGCATTGCATTCATCATCTTCCATCTCCTCGTGCAACACAGCATCTTAGCCTTCGGCTCAGGATTGCCAAGATGCAGGGACCTTTGTGGTCGTTGCCGACCATGCTGGTCATATTATTGTTCAGCACTCTCACCATTGCTTTTCGACCCCTTCAATTCGTCAAGCACACCGGCCAATCCGGTCGCGCGGACCAGGCATTCAGTATGGTGAACTACTTCAACGAAACCACGCAACAATCCGACCTCTATGTTCGCATGTGGATGTTCCGGTACGGATCCTCCAACAAGGGCTGGGCATCTCTAGGATTGGCTCCGCGGATGAAAGGCGCTCTGATGTTCATCATCTACGGCGATCCGAACTCCGAGGATAAAGGCATGACTTTGACCGTCAGAACTGTGGACGGCCATCACCCTCCCCGGCCTACAGACGAGATGAAGGATTTCTACAGCGGTGTGGTCCCCGAGGTTGAAATTGTGACGGCCCATTTCGAGGACTACACTGGCGAATGGTACTCGGAACAAATGCAAGCGAAACCCTCGCATTTGGGCATCGCGGATTTCATCGTCCGTGGCTACGACCGATGGACCGCCGCCGAACTTGGAGTTCACAATGACACGACGAAACAAGCCATGATCTGGAGTTCCAACTTTAAACAAGACTTTGAAGGCGGACTTTTCCGTCGTAC